CACCGGGTGCCCGCCGCGGACGCCGTGGGAGGCTCCACAGGGCTCTCAGGAGCAGGAAGGACGCGCACTTGCTCCGGGGCTGGGGGGCAGCCGGCAGTGACCGCGAGGGGGTCCACCAGGGAGGGGTGCCCAGGACGCGGACTGCATACCCCTCACAGCCACTTCGGGTTTGTGTTTTTAAAGTTGATTTATTGGGGCTGGCAAGTGGAGTGGTGGTTAAGGCACTGGACTCCCACATGGCCAACCACGGTTCAAGTCCTGGACCTGGTGGCTCTCTTTCTCTCTCTGGTTAACTAAATAATAATAATAAGTTAATAATTCTAAACAAAAGTTAAAGTTTACTTATTTCTCTCATGAACAAGAGACAGAGACAGAGGCAGCACCCCCAACAAGGTCTTCACGCCACGAACCCGGCCTCAGTCGGCCCCGGATCATGGGCACATGTGCCTGCCGTGCTCAGGAAGTCTCAGACGACAACCGGGTGGACCCCTATGCACCCCCCAGCCCTCTTCTAACTTCTGCGACAGAACTCAGAGTGAAGCCTCCCCCCTCCCCGCACTCGAGCTCCCCGATCTTGGGCGTGCACGCAGCACCTGGCATGCTTTCAGGCCAACCCAGGGATGTGCCGGGGCGGGCCGTGTGGCTTCCCGCACTGCAGTTCAGGCCGTTTTGACGGAACTGCTGGCAGGGCTGGACGGTGCTGTTTTGATGGGCCGCTGTGTTCTGCCTTCTACGGCCCAACCCGACAGCACCTCCCTCCTTCCAGTGCCTGCCAGTGTGTGCTCGGCGCCGGACCGAGTGCTCTGCGGCTCCAGAATGTGTCAGTGGCCGGGCCTGTCCCAGGGAACCCAGGGCACCCGCACTGCACGTGGCCGGAGTCTCTGTCTGGGCACCTGGCCCTGTCGCACTGAAGCCAGTGGGGGCCCCACGGAGTGCAGCTTCACTACAGGGGCCTGGGGGTTCCCTCTACAGGAACCCTGGAAGGCAGGCCACCTCCAAAGCACTCACACCCTTTTGGAGGGACTGCCTGGGCCCCAGGAAAGACAGGAGAGTGGCCTGCAGTGGCCGGGGCCGAGGAACAACCCAGCTCACACCCGGACCCCAGCCTGAGTCACCGGAGAGCAGACGTCCAGGCTGCGGAAGGCACTGCCGGGGAGCAGTGGGGCGGTGCTGTCCCAGATCCAGGACAACCTCCAGCCAAGACACAACAACAAGCACACCGTGAGCACGGGCTCAGGCTGGCAGTGTCCCCCTGATGCGGGGTCGCGGTGGCCGTGTGACCAGAACAGCCCCTCTGGCCTCAGACTTTAGCAAGCCTTGTCAGACAGCGTGTGACTGTGAGGGAGGCCTCGGAGCCGTCAGTTTCCTGGATGGACGGGAGGGGAAGAGACTGGGCCACCGGAGGGGCCAGCGCCCTGGTGTGGAGACCACACTGTGGCCGCGGTTCACAGCCCTCGGCCTGCAGGGCACAGCAGCCACGCCAGGCACCCAGAGTCCCAGAGGGCCGGGGTGCACAGAACCTGCCGGGGCGCTCTCCCCTCCCCCCCTCCCTCTCTCACACACACACACACACACACAATCAGTAAAAGGACGACACTGGGGGCCGGCAGGTGGTGTGGTGGTCAAGTGCTGGGTTCCCACATGGCCAATCACAGTTCGAATCCTGAACCTGGTGGCTTGACAACCAGGCCAGGCACGTGGGTGCGTGCCCCAATCCCAGGGGAGAATGGAGAAGGGACTGGCATGGCCGCCCCCGGGGTGATCTCTCGCTCTCCCTCCCCGCCTCTCCATGCTAAGTGCACGCACCTCAAGTACGCTGAAGAAACGACGCCGAGGTCCGAGGTCTACGGGAGAGCAACACGTCCCCGCCGGGCCACGGCCAGAGCACTGGATGGCGGGTCGGGGGTCGGGGCCCGTTCCTCTCTCGGGCCCTGTCTCCCCATCTGTAAGTGAGGTGGTCGGGTCTGCACCCCAGGTTCCTGGCCCCCACACCCCTGTGGCCACGGCTCTGCCCTGCGCTGAGCGGAGCAGATAGGAGCTGTGTGGTGGCACTGCAGCAGCTGGGCACAGGGGGCACCACGTGTGGTCCCACCTCTGGGAGGTTCCTGAGTGGGCAGAGCCACCCCGCAGCATCAGGGGAGCTGCCGGGGGAGGACAAGGGACGGGAGAGGCCCGAGAGGGAAGTGGGGAGGCGCTGCCCAGCCCTGACGGCAGCGGTTACACGCTGCACGTGTGTCGGGACTGGCCACGCCGCGTGTGTAAACGTGCCCCTGTGCTGTGCACACAGCCCTCAGTAAAGCTCCTTTAGAAAAATCGAACCCTGTTGAGCCTGGGCTCTAGGGTCGGCTGAGAGCGGCTCCCCGTCACGGGCCCTGGCAGGCTCTCCCGTCCCCGAAGGAGCATCTTTGCCATGTGAACACAGGCCGCCCGATCGTGTCTAAGGACACAGCTGCGAACAGCTGGATGCAGCCGGGCCCGGATCCCTCACCGGGCCGCCTCCGCACCACCAACACTGCTCCCTGGGGCTGGAGGGCGGCCCCTTCTCCAGCGGAGTACTCGGGGCACAGAGAAGCCAGGCTCTTGCCACCAGCCCTGGTGTCCTGTGGGTCATGGAATGACCTCTGAGACGCTGTGCCGTCCTCGGCCTCCCACAGCCCCCCTGCCCCACCTGGGAACGGATGGGTGACAAATGCACTTGTGACCAGTGTGATGACAGCCAGAGGGCAGTGGGGCCCGACCAGGCCACGCGGGAGGAAGGGCGGCCGCAGCGAATCGTGGGTAACCACCGCCAGCCACCCGGCCCGGCCCCCTTGCATCGGCCGTTCCTCCAAGGCGATCGATAAACCGGCAGCCCGCCGACTCCCCGACTCCCCGGCCCCAGCTCAATTTCCCTCCCCTCTCCGGGCGCCCGGCTACACCCTCACCCAATTAAGGGGCCGGAGCGGCCGAGCGCGAGCAGCAGGCTGCATCACCCAGGCTCTGGTTTTGCCCCCTGGACTCCCGGGCCCCCGAAGTGGAGCTTCAGTGGCTCAAGCCCCCCAACCGCAGGCCCAGCTGCCCTCTCCCCAGGGTTGCCAAGTCCCGGACGCCTGCTAAACGGTAAACGACAAGGGAAGTGTAGTTTGAGGTGTCCCCTGCCGCAGCGGCTCCTCTTAGCCGGCGCTTGCTGTCGCCTGGCCGGCTGGGACTGAGCCTGCATGTGCCCTTGGAGCTGACCCCGCAACCCAGGCCAGGCGTCCCCGCAGCTGTGACGCCAGCCTCTTCCTCCCAGTGTTGGTTTATTCAGATGATCTCCACAGGCTCTGAGAGGCAGAGACACAGGCAGCAGGAGAGGCTGCGAGGGGGCCACGGCTCGGGTCCTGGCCCCACCCAGACATACCAGGCATGGCTAACCCCGGCAAATGGGGGGCCAGAACAGGAGGCCCTTGACCCAGAGAGCCTATGTCCACACAGCCCATCCCTCTCTCTCCCTCTCACATTAAAAGGGGGTGGTGGGCCAGTAGGCGGTGTAGTGGTTAAGGTACTAGAGTCCCACATGGTCGACCGTGGTTCGAGTCCCAGACCCGGCGGCTTCAAACTCACACCAGGTGCGTATACAAGCGTGCTCAGGATCCCAAGAGAATGGAGTAGGGATTGCGGGGTGGACATCTCCCTGGAGGGTGAATTCTCGCTTTCTGTCTCTCTAGCTCTCTCCAGCGAGTTCAAGTGCCCTGTGGCAAAAACTTCTCAAAAGAGAAGGGGGGGGCCCACAGTGCCATGGCTCAGCGGTACACACTGCTGGAGAGAAGCTGGATCCCAAAACACCGCAGAGCGCATCCCCGTCCTGGCCAGCTGGGACGTGCGGGACATGCCGGGTCAGCAGGGGGAGGGCCGGAGGAAGGACGCGGCGGGACCTGGCCCTGAGGAAGGGTCTCTTTCTCTCCTGCCTCTCCCGTGCACTCCCCATCATGAGCAAGTGAAAACGCCCGACTCCTCTGCTCGCGGCCTCGGCGGCTCACTTCCGCGCTCTCTGCCTCGGTTTCCTGACCTGGACATGCACCAAGGGCTGACGGCCTCTGCCGAGCTGGGCGGGCCAGGCGAATCAGCGCAGGCACCGTGCTCAGAGCGCGTCCCGCTGTGGTGCGCACCCCGACGGGGAGTGAGGGGCACAGGGGCCGCGCTCGCTGGTCACGCTACCCTAAGTGACGTGCCAGCATCTCCGGGGAGCAGGCGAGCAGGCAGACCCCAGCCACACTGGGCACCAGGCTCGGCAGGGG